TCCAACTCCTTCCATTGTGTGAAATTCCGAACGTGAGCTGCACTGGATTCGTGCTCGGATATTCAAGGATTCAGTTTCCACCATATGTTGAATCCATCCTCAGAATTAAATTTTGAGTTACTTCTGTCTGAAAACAGTTTGCAACAAAAGCAGTAAAGAGGATTAACTTGCCGCCGATACAAAGGGATGGATTAACGTCTCCAGTAGCTGCAGATATGGGTGATGAGCAGACCCAAAAGTGTCGCCCCCCAAAAGTGCCGCCCGGGGCGGCCTGCCCCCCTAGCTACGCTAGTGCCTATGACCCTTCAGGCTTTTACGCCCTTAATGTACGAGTCATAAAGGCAAGTATGAACTTTTCATACTTCCCTGTTGGGCGCTGTAAACGCTTCTGCGCTTCACCTTGCACAGGATGTAAGGGGGCGCCCAATAAACTAGCCCCCTCGGGGGCAAATCTGAAATCTGAATCTGCTACTCCTCACCTAGTAACTCCTTAGCACTGCTCTGTACAACAATATATATACAGAAAACCCATCGTGAGTTTCTATTCTACCTGAGTGTGAGATATCTACATGTACGTACGTTTGTGTGGCCATACAAAGAGAAAATAGACATCTAAAGAGAATTGACTACTGGCCACACCACAGTACTCTACAATATCGATGCCTCATTGGTTACGACTGGATGACGTCAGTCAACACTGCGCGTGCGTAATGCGCAGATAACCTCTCGCAGAAGAAGAAGACTGAAAACTACTTAAAATCAATTAAACTCAATTGTGTAGCTATTATTCATTTCCACCATGTATATATGGGATTCAAAATGCTCAGAATAGCGAGATCTAAATGTTTCAGTAGTTTATATTTTTCGGGGGCGCTATGTCCGAAAGTAAAATAATACCCGAAAGTTCAATTCCACATTATTTGCCAACAATATCACTTTCCTTGGCTCCTAAAGAAAATGACTTGTTTTATTTACTTTACAATTATAAGCATTGATTACGTGCAAAAATAAGCAATACTCATATCAAGTCAAGGTTTAACATGAAATATCATATAATCTTCGTTTAAAATGGTTGCACTGAAAGCTATGAATACAAAATATTTTTATATCCAGTAGTTGTTTTAGTTCGTTTCCTGGCTTGGCATGAGTTTTATTCTTCAGTCTTGTGGTTGATTCATCGAATATTTATGTATATTACAGTCAAACTGTAATCAGGCATTTTGCAAAATGGTTTAACGAATTTTTCAATCGGGTGAGGTTAGGTGCTAACCCAACCTAATCTAATCTAACGTTGACTCTAACCTAACTAACGTAACGTAATATTCCATAACCTGACAAGTTACGTTATGTTACATTAGTTAGGTTAGGGCCTAACCGGATTGAAACATTCATTTCACTATTTGAAGAAAAAAATAATTGCGAGATGCCCGATCACTGTACACGGTTTGACTGATAGTTTTTTCTCTTAGTACATTTTGTGTTACAGCATTTACTATTATGATAAAGAGCATAACTGTTAACTATTTGTAAAATATATATTGGTCTTCAGCTGTTAATTCATCTGATAGTGTGAAATACTTAATATAACATCTAATGGAATCATCCAATCCAAGAGTATTTTAAATCAAGTCTGTGAACAATTTTATATAAACTTTCTGTACACACAAGTGCTCTTATATGCTTTATTTTGTTTATGCTATTCCCATAGTTTACTGTTCCTTCCCCCTTTCGGATTTTAGGCTTACAGTACTTTAAAAAATTCTGGTAATTATATAGGATTAACCAGTGAGCGAAATTTATTGAACAAATGATGAAAACACCAGATTTTCACTCTTATATTATAGTGGACACTGTTGTAGTTTGGAAATATAATAAAAATTGGATATTTTAAAAATAAACGTTACATAACATTTGTGGGTATAAAAACAGACCTAACCAAATAAACCTACCTAACTTTACCTAACTTCCTTACTGGGGGGCTCTGCCCCCCGGTATATTAAACAGAAAGAACTTTCTTTGATATGTTGAGATTTGAGGCATTTTCTGGATGTGAGATGATACGGCTGCATTGGCGCCATACACCCCGGGCGGTGGAATGATTTACTGTGTTGGCGGGTTCCACAATAAATGATTATCATATCACAACTCACTGATGAAAATAATGTAAGAAAATAAACAGTCTCTATGTAAAGGAACAATGTCGTGATCTTTAAACAATTGAAGGGTCTCGTTGTCTTTATCCCTAAATCCACAAATTATGTCCATGTAAGATTGGCGACAACTTTCATACATGCTGAAAAACAAACTGCCCGGGCGTAGGAAAAGTCCCTCAGCAGAGCGCATCCTCATTACCACCCGCAAGATAAACTAGTGCACGACTAATTATATATGAAACATCTATGAAACAAACGATTTCCACAGTAAATGATTATCATATTAGAACTCACTGATGAAAATATTCTAAGAAAATAAACAGTAACAAAAATAACTCCCTCACTGGTTAGTCCTATATATTAACCCAAATTCTTCATCTCTTATCTGACAGTTTATTTTTATTCATGTATTGCACTCTTCCCACACCTTTATCATCTACCGCATACGAAGAAATATAAACATCCACTCTGTACTTTATGTCAGTCACTCCTGGTACAAATGTCTCCCAATTGTTAAGTAACTCCCATGTTAGGGCGTCAAATACAGAGTAGGTTGGTCAGATCACAGATATGCGAGTGCTGCTTTGCATGAACCAATGAATCTACTGCACTGTAGTTTCTTTCTTTTTCCTTTACGATTCCTTCGTAAGTGGCTCTAGTCTGAGTCTATCACAAAGTTCTTTGTTGATGCATATAGGCACCTCAACTACCCTGAAAGGTTGGAGCGCCTGAACTTGCCTAGCTTATACTACAGACGGGCAAGGGGCAACCTAAATGAGGTGTATAAGCATCTCAAGGGGCACTACTCAGTCGAGTGTCGTTACCTGGAGCTGGGGGACGCTCGCCCCACAAGGGGTCACAGCTCAATGTTGAAGAAGCCGCAGATCCAGAAAACTGTGAGGGCAAACTTTTTCGGAGTGAGAGTTGTAAACTCTTGGAACAACCTGCCAGAAAGTGTTGTGGCGGCACCGAGTGTGAGCTATTTCAAGACCAGACTTGACCAACACTGGAGCAGGTTCAAGTACATTCAGGAGCCGGTGCATGCCCAGTACTTGCCAACAGTGCATAACAGACGTGACCAATCGCCCAAGCGGCTAACGAGCCGATCAGTGGTGAAGAAGATAAAAGTCAAAAGTAAAATGGTGATATGGGGTAAAGAAATAGTCTTTCAGATTGACACCGGTTCTCATGTGAATACTCTGCCCCTCAGTTTTGCCAAACATGTCAAACCTACAAGTAGAGTCCTTAAGACCTGGAAACAAGGCACTTAGGTTCCAGTTGGTATATGCACTAAGAATTTGTACAACCCTGTAACTGGTCAGAAATGTCCTATTGATTTCATTGTCCTTTAAGAGAATCTTACACCACATTCAAGTACTACTGTCTTAGGCTCTTAGCTGCTCAAGATGCAGCTGGAGCAGCCAGTGGGCTGCGGGTTGCATGTAAGAGGGATGCGGCCCAGTTTGACACCCCTGCTCTACAGTATACAGGCATGGAAACCCTACCTCCAGAAGGAGCTAACATCCTCAGAAAAGGTGCAACACAGAGTGACCAAGATGATTCCGGAACTATGTCATCTCGACTATCCAAGTTGACTGATGCCTTTAGTACTAACAACTCTTCAGACAAGGCACAATACGGCAGATATCAGACAAGGCACTATAAGGTAGATCTCAGTGAAACATTCAAAATTCCTGAAAGGGATGGAAAACGTGAACCTGGGCCATTTCTTTGTGATGTCACGCACCATCAACATGAGAAGACAAGCTGACCAAGTTATTATTCAGAACAAATATAAGGAAATACTTTTTCACACAGAGGCTGGTAGGCTTATGTTAAAGTCTAACAGCCCAAGATGTGAAACCAAGAGCAGTATTGGGCTGCAAAATAGCCCTTGACAAACTTATCAAGAACAATGGAGGGATCCTACACAGGCCACTGGCCTTCCCTTGGCATGGCCACCTCTAGGGGGGGGGGTGGCCATTAGGTAAATAAACTAAGTTGTGCATTTCTTAACTTTAAATGCATTTTACTCAAAACGTAATTTTGGCATTTTCCCCCTTCCTTCTCGTGACACTTCATACAAGTGATAAGGGTTGCGTGTAAACGGGGCTGCCTATAGTTTGTTCACTTGAAGCTTACAATCGAGACCTAGGGTCAGCAAGGCAAGAGCTACAGTACAATACTATAGTGATTCATTGGGTGTCCTTTCACTAGCCAATCAGCTGCATTACTACAAACTGACCCTAGACCTCAATAGCAAATTTACTATACGTACAGTAAAAAAAAGATATGTTTGACAAACTTTATTATCGATAGGATCATATGTACACAAGTTATAAAATCTCTACACAGTATGTACATCTGTTAAGAATATTCATAAAAATAGCATTATCAACATTGATTTCTGAAGGTATACACATTTGTACCAAGATGCAAGTGAAGATGTCAAATACTGATGGTGTAAGGCACGGGGGGCATGTTTGGATTCAGTAGAATATATACAGTAGTACAAGTATTGTATAATCTCGGAGAAAAATAAACTTCCTACAGGATACTTTTAAGCAGCATGAGTGAACTATGTGAGGCACAGGTGTACACAGGTAAATAATGGTAAGTGGGATAATCAGAATAAACTCTTCAGTGCTGTAGTGAGTGTGGCACCTAAAGAAAAATCACACCACAAACATTTCAATGACTCATTACCATATTAAAATATATGATGCTAAATGTATACCAAGTTATAATTTTCCTGACACTTTAAAAAATAATTACAGTACTGTACTGTATTATATCCATGTAGTAAACTACTTGAATATCAAATAATTCTTCTGGTACAATTTTCAAGAAAAAACTAGTCATGGGAAATTAATTTTCATTAACTTAAGTTACTACCCAGTATAAAAATAAATTAATCACCTCCACACTAAACTCCAATCAACACAGCTAGCAAGAGGTAGTGACTGTATACAACACTAACCCTTCCAACTTGTCATTATGATAATCTTAAAGTTTTCTCTCTACAAATGTAACTAAAGTATTACTGTATTATTATTACCGGGTATTTACTTTTAAGTACGTTCCCCTTAATCTTGGATACAATAGCATGCTATATTCCAACACAATGGTGATTTTGTTGATTGTTAGCAAGATAAATTTATATTTTTTATATTATCTATGGTACGTAAGTCACTACTTTGAAAGGTACAACAGTGAATAATGATGAAAAAATAAATCTGTTAGAAGACAGTAAAGATGAATAAATAATACTGCTAGTAATACTGAACAAAACAAATGTTCATTCTGATTCTGCTGCTACTTGTCACTGAAGACTCCATTACTGCTATAGTATTTTGATTTTTGATGTTGGCTCACTGACCATGACAGACTCTATTTCAATTTCCAAGCATTCTTGTTTCTTATAGTGTTAGCAAATGGTGAATTCCATCTATGTCAGTCACAGAAATCCCTCAACTTCTTTGTCAGTTGTTTTGATCATTTCTGGTTTTTTTTCCTTTTTAATAATTAAATGTGTTCTGAAGACATGGTGGCTACTGAAGGTTGTGCTTTGAATATAGAACAAAATATTTAATATAAAGGTAGAGACAGAGAACATGGACACAGTTTTCTCTTAAAATGACCAAAAAATAAAAGAGAACATTACAGGTATTTAAATCGAAAGAATACACTGTACAAATACTACCCAGTTATAGTTCAGTGGTACACTGTATTAAGTAAAATACATTATACAGTACTGTACAGTGTGTGAAATTTAATAAGACAAATGCTTGTTGGAAGACGGACTCAACAATATTATAAAGGAAACAATTTGTAACAGCTAAGAATTAAATCATTGTTCATCACCAGAGGATGATTTATTCTAGAATGTTAAATGACACAAAACTATACAGTATAGTATATGAAAAATGATTTATGACAATTTCTTGAAAAATAACCTATAATGTAATGTAAGTTAGGGAGAAGGGTAATTCTTTCCATGTTAATCATTAAGTATTTTTAAATAACTTTACGACAAGTGGATTTATGACAGTCAGTTATGACAAATGCTTGATGAAGTACAGTTCAGAGGTTCTTGATACTAAATGTACCTCAGACGAGTACAGATAAATATGCATATATTGAAGACAGAAAAACTAAGGACAGTACTATACCTGTACTGTACTTCAATACAGTACAGAAAGTGTGATGGATTCTTGAAGTTTAGGCAATATTTATTTATTAGTATTATGTTCTTTGGATTTGCTTCTATTCCAAGTTTCCATCAAATGTACTCAAGTTATTATGTTTGTGAAAAGAACTATATTACACCACTCCTCGGTAATAAGTATGATGGCTGAATTCTGGGGCTGAAAAATGCAGTAACATTTTTACTACAGTATTACAATGAAGGTTCCACAATGACAAAATAAATAGAATTAAAATGACAGTATGTTTGTTGAAAAATTATACACTAAGTATTTATAAGCAAGTCAATATAAATACTATCAGAGCCTTGGTGTATCTGGCCCCTTTGTTTACTATTACTTTATGTAGCTTATGTTATTTACTTAATTAACACATCTACACTAACTTATGATCTTCCATGTGTACAGGAACAAAATTTAGCTACAGAACAATTAACCAGTACAGTACAAGCAATGGGAACTGAGTGAATCCTTCCAGGGATCTTCATTAAAGCTATCATCTGTGAGCGTGTGTTGGAAGCATGTGTCCAATTCATTATTTGATTTATCACTAAAGTAAATGTGTTTCCAAGTTTACAGGACAAATCTATCACTAAAGTGTGTGAAGCCAATATAGTCTAATTGCTGTATAACAATGAAATTAACTCCTACTGTCACAAGATAATGTTATCTAGCATAATGTGAACTGTAATTAGTGTTACCGTAGTGGTTCAAGTTGATCAATAAAAACTGGCAACATTTACTACCGCTGCAGCAGACTAATGCACAGTTGAATCACTGATACTGGTCCCTGTATTCAACTTCAATCTTAATACATTTAACTGTAAACTGATTCTTTATTGATTTACTTGTTCTGCGAGGATATAAGAGAAGTTTTAAGTTCATAAATGCTTTATCCTTGCTGTGTGTGTTAGTTATCGCTAAGCAGAGTTGAGGTGTAAGTGTGCTGCAGCATCATTACTTACCCACCTGTATACACTATCATTAATTGGCTCATACAGTTTAAATCACAAAAGCCAAAATAAATATTTTTAACTCCATTAGAGAGAATAAAAAGTGATTAACTTTTTCTTGTCAGGAGAATAATAATATGCTTCACTGAAAATCCCTGAAAACATGGATAACCCACACCATGCAGTTTGCAAAGTAGCAGTTCTGCAGAGCACTGAACTTACACATTACTTGATGAGAAAAATCAAGTCAAGGCAGTGTTCCACAAATAAGATAAATAATATGATGAATCAAGTAATTCTGACCTACATGCCCTTCTTCCGTAAGATTAGTCTTCACTTGAGTGGAATAAAGCCACTTCAATGTGATTGATTTTTGTGTTTGTAATGGAAGAAAATCTTGACATAGTGTTCACAAGAAGCTCAGAGTTACCTTACTCTTCACACAGTTATTCCTTAAAATTCATGATAAAGCTTCAAAACTGAGCTGATGGTGACCCTCTTCCCAAAGGCACCAAGGAAGTAAGTAAAGAAAATAATAATCTTTGATATATGAGTATAAACACGGTGAGTATAGATCCAGTCACACATACTCACTATATACATTATATAGTACTGTGCACAGATTTATTCCAGTAAATTATCAATAATTGTCAATTAATAAGAGTATGAGCACAGCATTAATGACTTCACTGAGTACATATTTGGTTCACTGGTTGTATAGTTCTGCAATTTCCACCAACTGTTCACTACACCGTCAGCACTCAACACCTCTACAATGAGATCACAAGACTGAGACGTTTATGGTACACAAACATGTCACTTCAAGACCCTGTCTGTTGAAAAATGTTTCATGGCCATGTATTTTTCAACACTGAAGGGAATATGTGCATAAACTGTATGTTCCACTCTCAGGCACTTTAATGGTCACCCCACATGTATGAAATAGTTTAGACAGGTTTTGTTCCTCAGACGAGAGTGTCCAATACATATACACCTTCATCACTACTACTGTGAAGTGAACTCAACCCTGTGTCTGAATTAGAGTCTGTTGAGTCTGTATCCTTTCCTCCTGTTTCGTTTGTTTTAGAGGAAGAGGGAGGAGAGGAAGAGGAGGTCTTGCTTGGCGCTGAGCTGCTGGGTGTTTTACTGTTAATGCCGCTCGTGCTACTGCTGGTTGATGCCTCTGATGAGGTACTGGACCGTGAACTGACACACAAACTGCTATTTTTGGCTGAATCTCGATCGTCCTCCTCCTCATCTTCCTCCATGATTGGCGGCGGACACATTGGAAGAGGAGGTGGAATGTCACTGTTCTCCACTATTATTTTTTTGTTGGGTTTGGTTGACACTTTTAGGATATCTGTGTTAGTGTCACAACTGTTTAGTAGCGGCACTCTGTTGGTGGTAACTGTGTTTGCTGTGGGCACCTGGGGATCACTGATCTCATCAGCTGGGAGCTGAAAGGCAGAGGGAGGAAGATGGATAATGTAGTCGAGGTGCTTTTTTAATGCACGAGTCTCCAAGTCGGACTCTGTCTCTTCTTTGAGCAGCATCTCGAGTTGTTTCCGCTGTTCCCACAAGATGACCTCAGTATCTCGGAGAGTCTGTTCGTTTTGCCGCACATCTGCCACCAGCTGGGCGTGGACGTGGGTGACACACAACAGTTCTTCCTGAAGTAGCTCTGCCTCGTCCTTGTGTTGCTCGTATGCTGCGGTGACAGCTGTAGACATGCCTGCAAAAGCCTCCTCCTCATGTAACAGCCGAGTGTTAATCTCTTCCATCCTTGCCAAAATGGATGCAAATTCCTCAATTTCCTCCAGGCCCGCAGCTGTCGCTGCCTCCTCCTCTGCTGTGACTCCTTCAAGACTTTGGCCAAGGGTTGCCTCCACCACCTCCTCTGTCACCACACCAGAATCATTACTCTTTTCTTCACTACTGGGTTCGTCCTTGGCCTCACACTGGTCGTCCTTGAGGTAAGAGTGGAGAAGGTAGTCAGTGCCAAGGTTCTGAACACGGAGTAGATGCATCTGCTGCTCGTACTGTTCTATCTGGTGTTCCCTCTCTTGAAGGCGCCGCAGCTGTGCCTGGATAGTCTCCCCTTGAGCCACCACCAGCCGCATCAACCTCTCCATCGTCTCACTGAAAAAACAACGACACGGTAATGTCCACCTCTACCACTGCGTAATATTTGCCATGGCTGTAACATAACCTCCACCACGGCCACACAGCCATATCTGCTAATACATTAATGCAAACACGACCACTACCACAACTCAGCAATGACCACAGGTTATAAGACTGAGTGACTACAGAACCAATAGGATGCTTCCATCCTAAGTACATTATAGAGCAATAGTGAAGTACTGTACAGCACAAGCTGTGGCAGAGCAATAGTGAAGCACAGGCTGTGGCATGGCAATAGTTAAGCACAAGCTGTGGCAGAGCAACAGTGAAGCACAGGCTGTGGCAGAGCAACAGTGAAGCACAAGCTGTGGCAGAGCAATATTTAAGTACAACCTGTGGCAGAGCATTAGTGAAGCACAAGCTGTGGCAGAGCAATAGTGAAGCACAAGCTGTGGCATGGCAATAGTTAAGCACAAGCTGTGGCAGAGCAACAGTGAAGCACAAGCTGTGGCAGAGCAATAGTTAAGTACAACCTGTGGCAGAGCAATAGTGAAGCACAAGCTGTGGCAGAGCAATAGTGAAGCACAAGCTGTGGCATGGCAATAGTTAAGCACAAGCTGTGGCAGAGCAACAGTGAAGCACAAGCTGTGGCATGGCAATAGTTAAGCACAAGCTGTGGCAGAGCAACAGTGAAGCACAGGCTGTGGCAGAGCAACAGTGAAGCACAGGCTGTGGCAGAGCAATATTTAAGTACAACCTGTGGCAGAGCATTAGTGAAGCACAAGCTGTGGCATGGCAATAGTTAAGCACAAGCTGTGGCAGAGCAACAATGAAGCACAAGATGTGGCAGAGTATTAGTGAAGTAGAAATAGCACTAGCACCATAACACTAGTAGTAATGGTAGGGCGAAGCACTAGCAATAATGGTGGGACAAAGCACGAGCAGTAACGGTACAGTGAAGCAGTAGTGGTATGGTGAAGCACTAGCAGTAATGGTACGGTGAAGCACCAGCTGTAACAGTGGGGTGAAGCACCAGCAGTAACAGTAAGGTGAAGCACCAGCCGTAACAGTAGGGTGAAGCACCAGCAGTAAAGTAGGGTGAAGCACCAGTAATAATGGTAGGGTGAAGCATAGAAGCACCAGTAGGGTGAAGCACCAGCAGTAAAGTAAAGAAGCACCAGTAATAATGGTAGGGTGAAGCACTAGCAGTAATGGTACGGTGAAGCACCAGCTGTAACAGTGGGGTGAAGCACCAGCAGTAACAGTAAGGTGAAGCACCAGTAATAATGGTAGGGTGAAGCACCATCAGTAACAGTAGGGTGAAGCACCAGCAGTAACAGTGGGGTGAAGCACCAGCAGTAACATAGTTGAACACCAGCCGTAACAGTAGGGTGAAGCACCAACAGTAAGTAGGGTGAAGCACCAGTAATAATGTAGGGTGAAGCACCAGCAGTAAAGGTAGAATTGAAGCACCAGTAATAATGGTAGGGTGAAGCACCGGTAATAACAGTAGGTTGAAGCACCAACAGTTACAGTAGGGTGAAGCACCAGCAGTAATGTAGGGTGAAGCACCAATAATGGTACATTGAAGCACCAGTAATAACAGTAGGTTGAAGCACCAACAATGTGGGGTGAAGCACCAGAACAGTGAATTGAAGCACCAGCAGTAAAGTAGGGTGAAGCACCAGTAATAATGGTAATTGAAGCACCAGTAATAACAGTGGGTTGAAGCACCAACAGCAATGGGTGAAGCACCAGCAGCAAATGAAGCACCAGTAATAGGTAGGGTGGAAGCACCAGTAATAACAGTAGGTTGGCACCAACAGTAGCAGTAGGGTGAAGCACCAGCTGTAACAGTAGGATGAAGCACCAGCAGTAACAGTAGGATGAAGCACCAACAGTAGCAGTAGGGTGAAGCACCAACAGTAACAGTAGGTGTGAAGCACCAGCAGTAACAGTAGGGTGAAGCACCAGCAGTAACAGTAGGGTGAAGCACCAGCAGTAACAGTAAGGTAAAGCACCAGCTGTAACAGTAGGATGAAGCACCAGCAGTAACAGTAGGATGAAGCACCAACAGTAGCAGTAGGGTGAAGCACCAACAGTAACAGTAGGTGTGAAGCACCAGCAGTAACAGTAGGGTGAAGCACCAGCAGTAACAGTAGGGTGAAGCACCAGCAGTAACAGTAAGGTAAAGCACCAGCTGTAACAGTAGGATGAAGCACCAGCAGCAACAGTAGGGTGAAGCACCAGCAGGATGAAGCACTAGCAGTAACAGTAGGGTGAAGCAGTAACAGCATACCTTTTAAAGGGAAGTAACATGGACAGGTGTGCGGAGGCGCCACACCTGGGCCGACACACATTATGTATAAACTTCATGTTGATAGTCAGTCAATTAAGGAATAACACACATACATCAACAACTATGACTCACTTAGGCCTGACTCTCTATTCTGATATATAATTTTGTCATCTAATAGTGTCTTCACTAGCCTAGTTTTTAAATGGTTAGTTAGTAATAAGATTCTATATCAACTACAGTATTCAGTCTGTCCCCCTGGTGGCCAGAATATACAGGTATGTCATCTGCCTCGTTAGCATCTATATATTGTGTGATATACAGTAGGTCAATGAACGAACAAAATAATTATATATCCATTCTTTGGTGAAATGGGAAAGACGGTATTTGAAGGAAAGAAGCGTGTATGATTATGTTTTTTCCGCCAATCACGTTAATCTGACCATGCTATTACAAGTGAAAGGTCAGCCTTGAGACGTAGGTTCCCGTCCCTTCTCCCACTGGTCGCAGTGCTATCCAGTGCCTAAACATTTCTCTTCACCACCTCATTTATCCTTCATAACCTTCATTAAACCCTTAAAGTCATTGCTTATTTTACATTTACTATCATTAATGTACACTAAAGCCTTATCTGTCCGTGTGGTGGTCAAGCCTGTGTCGCGTGTGTCGTCAGGCGTCTTCTTCCCGAGGCTGATAACGCCACTAATATTCAAGGCACACGTGTCCGGGGGCTTTCCACAAGCAGTAGTTCTTTCTGTAATAACTCTCAGTCTCCTCCACCACGGGAATTGTGAGTTAGTAAGGCGTCCCCCGGGCAACGTAAGTCCCTCCCTTGGCACTACACAAACCAACTGTGGGCCAGGTGTGGGTGCCACCTGGCCACTACCAACGCGCGGTCCGTCCTGTGCCCTTCACCTGCGTGTTGGAGGACACTGCCCGACACTCATTCAGCTACACACACCTCTTATGATATCAACTTAAGAGGTAAACCAATACACAAACTATGCTACTCAAACCATTAGCAATGAGAAAAATCCCGAATACAATTGTAACGCCGTTGTTAAGTCAGCAAATTGAACCTGTATAAGGCTAGACAGCAACTGAGCAGCGTGGACCCTTCACCTCAGGGATGTCCGACCTATGACTTTTTCATTCAGTTGTCTAACTTGTCTATAGTGGCAGTAATGTTTTTGTGACGGGTGGCGTAACGCTGGTCAGTGATAGCGAGAGTATTCACCCACCTGCCTCCTCCCTCACGCTAGACACAATATACTCATGCTACAACAAGGCAACTGACTATAACCTAGCAACAATGTGTTTTTCAGCCTCGACAGCAGTTGATGCACCATGACTCATTCATTCATAATCGCCCTCACGAGGTTGTTTTAATAATAAGCTGACAGTTTATGATAAAATTTCATGAAACACGAGACACGACCATCCCCGTTACCGACTGAGCCGCATCGTCATCAGTTACGACAAAAACAGCCTTATAAAGAATCATTCATTGCAGTGTGGGCAAGACTCGGGAAGCGCGTGTGTGTCGGGATGGTCGAAAACCTCACCTCACCACCTGCCACCACCACTCTTACCCTACCTCACCCACGCTCTCAAAACACGTTCCCGCCACACTATATCCAGTTTTTCGTTTGTCTGTTTTAACTTTCGCGCAAACTCGTTAATTATCTTAATTCAACCAAGAAAATTTAGAGGATAGCCTGAAATCAACCTTTCCGGGATAAAACTAGTTTTTTCTCCTACAAAATTAATTTAGAAAGTAGTTAAAGGAAATATCAAAATGTACAACGTGACGATGGAAAAATATATGTGATTTAGGCTATTTTTATCATTTATAAAGTGAGTTGTTAGTTGTTGCTGTTTGAAAGTCTGGAGGCTGACAGTATATTGGAGACTAGTCGTATTTTGGAGGCCGATACTGAAGTGGCAGTTGACTGGGGTTGCGTAGGCTGTGCGGGACAAGAGGGAGGAGGGCGGCCGTCAGTCAAGATCCACCTGGCGTATGTACACATGGCGGAGGGAGTAGTCAAGAGGCCGGAGTCACGATCCAGGGGTCCACCTTTTCCCCATTAAACAGGGTTACTCAAGGCAGCTCCTTTTGACCCTACTAGCCAGGCAACCCTAGGTGATGACCCCATTAGCCCGGGGGGAGGGGGGTAACAGAGATGAATTGTGCAATATAAGTATAGAGAGCAACAGGAAAGGGTTACGACAACATATAAAAAATACTCAATATTGTATGAAGCGGATCCTTAACATCTAAATTGATCCACGAAGCTTCATAGTCAGTGTGCAAGCTAAGATGACTCGCCAGGTTCGTTACAGTTACCCTCATCATGTACCCAAGGTCACTGGACAATGACAATGAAAAGAGGAAACAATCCTAACAGTGTAATAGTTTTCTATATATGATGTTAACATAACAGATATCTTAACAACGCGGCCGGTAATAGGAAATGATAACGTTAAAATAGTTTCAGTTTACACGAAGTTTGACTAGGTTGCGTTGGCACTAAGACCGTTTACAACAAATTAAGTAAAGTTAGAGGGGTGATTATACTTCCATACAGTTTCCACTACTGTATATTTCAGTTGGGACTCACCTGGAACGGACCTCAGACACGTGGCTTACTTCCGTGTATATGATTCCTTACAAACGTGGCACTCATACCTGCAATTCCTCCGCTAGATGTGATAACCTTACAGCCTTGGTACGCCTACAACTAACTACTATAGATATGAACACCAAACACACTACTTCCCATAAATATGACCCCCACACACAAACACGTCCCCACACATCCCCCCACACATACACGTCCCCCCACACACACAAAAACACGTCCCCCCACACACACACGTCCCTCCACACATACACAAAAACACGTCCCCCCACACACACAAACACACGCCCCCCACACACAAACACGTCCCCCACACGTCCCCACCCACACATGGATCGTCCTCCTTTTCTCCACTCACCTGAACTTGGGGTCTTCTCTGGCAAGCTTCTTCGGGTGGAGTGTCTCTTTGGACCCGTGGGCGTGCTTCCATTTCTGGCGTCTTCTGCTACGTTCAGGACGCCCGCTGCTGTTGTTGTTGACTCCACCGTTCTCCCCGTCTCGTACTCGCCGCAGGGAGAACCGCACCTCGCCCACTGCCTCGCCCCACGTCCGCCACACCTGTAGGAGGCACAGAAGGTATTATCGCTGCCACACACACTTTCCCTTAACCGAATAACTACTGATTTGTGTAAAATTTGCGTAAATGCCACTTTTTTACTTTTTAAGTTATCGGCGACTTGGGTTCAATTACTAGATTTTGTTCCTTAAAATATAAAAGTATTTAACAATTAAGTGCACAATGAAATTTTGTTTCTGTGCGAGTGAGAGACATATACAGTACTAACTTAGAGATTATTTAGCTAACATAACACACGTACAGTCTACAAGGACCTCACCTGACCTTATCTTTGGTTAGGTTAAATCAAAATACTTAGAAATACTCTGCACGTTATAGTGTACTGTATATAACATGCTTCAGTAACACCGGATAACCTGAAGATTAATTCCCAAGCTTAATATTCACCTTTAATTAACTACCCTAACACTAATCTAACCTTATCTTTATGTGACCCAGATTAAATAAAGTGCTTCCATATATCATTAACTGCTTTCACTAGACTCACCAAAACGTCCACCAAATCAATATATCCCTTACATGTCTATATTTACCAAGGCCCTTTATAATCTATACTTGTGAACGTATGTATGTATGTATGTGTGGAACAAGCTTAGCAACTTTGTAGTAAGTGCTGGAACGCTGGAAAGTTTCAAAAGGAGGCTGGGTAGGTTCATGGATGATAGAGAGTGGTAGTAATTCTTGACAGGAGCTGCCATGCACAGGCCAACCGGCCTATTGCAGACTCCTTATTTTCTTATGTTCTTATGTGTATGTTTTCTATAGTGTACTTGACTCAGTTTACCTGTTTCAATGTATACCTTCTTAATGATGATTGTAAACACCCTAACCTAGCCTAATGCTAACCGAGCCTTATATAATGCACCTGCCGAATGTACTGTACCTCCCCGATATGTACTGGACGTATTTCTTCATAACTTCCCAGTGTATTTTCTTCGTTGTATAGTGTACCGTCAAGAGAGTACCTAACTAGCTGTGCCTTCAACAAAGTACCTACGGACGGATTAGACTAACACCCTCACCTTAAGTATCCGCTGTTCGTGGTCAAGTGGTCTCTCAACTTTCCGCCAGCGTTCCACGATGACGTACTGGATGACGTCACTGTCGTCGGCGCGGCCATTGTGCTGGGCTCTGAGGAGCGCCTTGATGATGTCGTGGCAGGTGGTGCGGCGCGTCACCCCCGTCACCCACTTCTGCACGCCCTCCACCCACACTCCAATCTCCACCTCGCTAGTCATCACGCCCCTGGAATATAACAAGGACAAGTTACATCACTGTTAGTTAAGGAAATGTTAGATATTTGTTAGTTACGTTAGTTACCAACTCTTCACACCACGGTTAGTAAGTCAAGGTGTACCCCAGGTATGCCGCTAGAGTGGTCAAGGAAGAGTTTAATTGGCACACCTGCGTGACGCCGCCACTCAGGTGAAGGTCAGACCACCACAGGAGTCAGGTTACAGGTCCGCTAGTCATCGGGTCATATGAATACAAACAAAAATCAATGACAATAACATCCCTTGTGAGGTTTCTGTACAATGGTTAGAATTATGCATGTGTAATGAGATAGTTTTACATACTGCAATACTATGTGAAGCTTTGAACGTTAAGAAATTACCGTATTTTAAGTATGAGAGTAATTAAAGTATCACCTTGAGATTCGCCCCTAGCTTATTTTACCTGAAGATCAACCGCCAAACTGTCCCTAGAGGGTTGAGTTGGGTCAGGATAGGTTGTAAACTTGGGGATCGAATCTTCAGGTGACCCTAATTAAAAACGTGTTAGGTATCAGGAACAAGTATTGCTGACGGAACACCTGTGGTAATAAAACCACAGAGTCTCCAGTAACATGAGTTTCTTCTCTCCACCTCAGCACCGGACAGTAAAACGACTCTAGTTCGTCCAGGAGCCACAAATTCCTCAACTCATCAGCTAATCAAATAGTAAAGCCAAACAAACACAAACTAAACCTCAGCCGAGTCTCTTAATATCTACTGTGTGTGGATTTCGAGTCAGACAGGATGGCCACTTAACCTCCCCCTAGACTGAACAAGATGAGAGTAACATTAAAACATAACCAAGGTCAGAAAACACCCCAATGTAGAGTAGGTTAGAGTAAGTGGACGTGAGGTACTGAGGAGGAAGAAACTCAATTTACAGAGACATACAGACGTAAGTAAAGATTATAATGATGATATTCCTTCCTTACTAATGGCGGGAAAAACAAAACAATCCCATAAGATAAGAAACTGTATATCGGCGACTGTTTATGATTCATGACCTCACATAACACAAAGTCTTTCCTGTATACAAACATGTGTGTATACGTAAGTCTGTACTGTTTGAAGGTTTATCCCGTAAGTGTTATTGACTGATACTTGGCACCGAGAACACTTAGATTTTCGCCGACAGACTAAAAGTTAAATGTTAGTTTAGTCAATATTTCTAGTGATGTAGTAAGTTGTCATGGAAGGAAGTTTTTAAAGGGGACACACACAAAACAAATGATAAACACAGCGTACAAGAAGTAATGACCAAATCTTTACGGGTTAAAGTACAAGAAATCTGATAGATGCTGGTGAGTTGTGTCACCACGCTGGGATATAGGTGGTGGGGGTGGTGTGGGGAGGAGGGGGGGTATAGGGTAGACAAGGAGTGACACGGGGAAAGGGAAGGAGGAGATGTGACAGTTTAGGAGAGATGAAAGAAGGAGGAGAGAATCAGGGAAGGAGGGAAGAGCCACGCTTCACCACACAGGTCAAATTGCACAAGGTCACCGCAGCAGCGTGACACATGACCCATCCTCCCCCACCGATCACCCCCCACTACAAGTTACATAACACATTCTACCATCCCGTATGCTTCCAAGTGTGGGTAAACAACACGGCCTCTGTACACAACCTTCTCTAAAGTAAACAAAGATATATGACAACTTTCCTTACTCACATTTACAACTACGTAAACACGACTTACCAATATATACGATATATCCCGACGTAAACAATCATGCCTCGTGTGATATAATATACGTAAACTAAAAATACTAACGCACATGCATGATATATCCCCACTTAACGTGATATAACGATGTATGTGAATGATTTCTCTTAACTGATTATACAAACTGTGATATATTAATGGTAAATGAATATAACAATGTGCTTCTGAAGACGAACTATAGATAATGGCTCTCTTCAACAATGATATACTTGCAGTCATATATCATGCACAACAGTATATTAATGGCGTATGAGATGACATATTGGCACACACATATTCGCGGTGATGGATATACTGTGATATATTCATGCTAACATATATCCCATGACATGAGTGAATCTCCCTCCCATTTTCATCTTTCTTTTGTACGTATATAGACATTCATAGAGACATTGGCTGTGACAGGTAAGTGGTATCTTCATGATGCTATATTTATGTGGTGATGTATACTACCTGTACCTCTCTCTCTCTCTCTCTCTCTCTCCCTCTCTCTCTCTCTTTGTAATGCGGTGACCTTGTGACCTTGACCTTTTGACCTAAAGAACCTCACATAAGGGATCACATACAGACAGCACTGACCGCTCAACTCAGTGAACTTCGTAGATATGAGGAACAAAAATAAAACGCTTTTAACTCATCTACAATTATCACAACACAATAATACAACAAACTTCATGCTAAGCAAGACAAGAATGTAAACAATTGCCTGCAAAATAAACAAACAAACAAAGGCATAAGATTTTTGACTTCAAAACACAAAATTATGTTACAAAAAAGTACCAAATACGGAACTACAACAACAAACTACAAAAGCGCTAATAAATAAGAAGAAAAGTATATGCACTACTTCTACAACAATATATAAAAGCACTAAATTAATAATAAGATAAACGAACAACTAATACAACAATATAAAAACAATAAATAATGAAAATGGATAAAGGTATCAAACAAAAGAGGAGCCAAACAGACATACAAGAACACAGTCCACTAACGAGCAGTCGATACCTGGGCCAGGCAGGTGTCATGGCCTCACCACCGACACATACAACAGCAGCTAAACGCTAAGTGGTGTTGCCTCTACGTGTCTTACAGGGACTCGTACAACCCTAAAGGAGTTTCCGGGTTACAGTGAAATCCTGTAGGACCCGCCAAGACTAATGGGACCCTGTAAGACCTATCGAGGACACAAGGACACTGTCAGACGTCAGAGGCCTCAGCAGGACCTATAAGGACCCCACAAGACAGTGTAGAGGCCAAGTATCCCTAGAAGGGCCCGCAGGTGAGGACGCGACCACCTGTCCTGATAAGGCGGGTGCTGCGGCTCCACACTTGTCCCGACAAAACACTCAAAACACATTAGAGGAACCGCAGTGCTGCCACCGCCCGGCGCCTCTCTCCTCCTCACTCTCCTGTGGCAAATTAAGCTCGTCCATTAACGTCTAAAGATGTAAATAATGTTACGTACCAAAGAAATAAGTGTACACACGCCTTATGAACCAAACACGATAAACAACAATTATATAAACATCGTCGGCGCGGTAAAGAGAGCAGAATGAAAGACCGAGGTGGAAGGTCATTGTTGTTTATGTTACGCCGGGCTACCTGGCCCACTCGTACACTGCCGTAGATGTCTTCGATAAAAACCAAGCCGCTCGATTTAGGTCGATCTTTATCTCTGCCATTTGTACGACATGTGTTAAAAAACATGGTGGACTCCTAAAAGCATTTTATCTTGCTGGACCATGTGTGCCGCGTCTCCCGATCTTACAGATAAAACAAAGTACAAATATTTTACGAGGAAGTTTTGTGGGGAAGAATTAACAGCTGTGTTGCGTGTTCGTCCTCTGTACCGACAAGTACAGTTACCAGCCATAATGATAACAACTGTGATGTAGTGAAGACTGTTACAAAGTGGCTTTCTAATTTAACATATGTAATCTCACGTAATAAAACATTACTACAACGCTCTCCTCCCTCAACATTATGTTTTAACTTTTATTTACAATATTTTTTGCTTCATAAATTTAATAGTAATTTTGAATCTTACTTTAAATATTTACAGCACCATTTTTTCTTGGGTTTATGAAAATAATAATGAGTTTCTGAAGACAATATTCAACCAAAGAGTTTTCTAATTAAACTGTCCTTCTGGCTAACGAGGAAAACTTAGAACAATTTGATATTTATACTTATTGTATCCCGTATGAATGTATACGGGTACAATATATACTTACAATTATTTTTCTTGATTTTAAGTAGATTTAATATGGCTTCCGGGTATAAAAGAAAAGTTCAAAATACAATCACTTACCAATCAATATATTATTATGAACCAGTAAATAAGGCTCACACGATACCCAACCCCTTTTCTATATTAATCTTTCTTGGGGTTGGGTTGTGTTAGGTAATGAGCCTTGATAACCAATGTAAAAAGCCTCAACATTTGGGTCCAAGCATCAGAGCAGGAACACCTTGGTCCTTCACTTGTTAACATAACCAGTCAGTTAGCGAAACGTGCATCAACTGTTAATTGTATGGAGGTAGTGGAGAGCAAGTGGAGGTGGTAGAGGGCAGGTGGAGATGGTGGAGGGCAGGTGTAGGTGGTGGAGGGGGGATGGCGGGAGGAGGTGAAGGGGCAGGTGAAGGTGGAGGAAGGCAGGTAGAGGTGTGAGTGTAGGTGAAGGTAAGAGACCAAAACTTAAACAACATTTCGCTTACGTAGGAAATAAGGCGACAAAGGGGCAATATGTCCGCTACAGTTTTCTTCACCCTTATGTTCTTAGCTGTCACCCCCCCTATCACACAGACAGACAGACAGACACACACACACACACACACATCAAGCAGTATCATCACCCGCAGCTCACAAGATATACAGTACATCAACAGGTGAAAGTCTACCGCCTGAGGGACCCACAAATGTCACCACAATCACCATTACTTGCTAAACCACACCACCACTCTACCTGTTTCTCTCACCACGAGGTAAAAATATCTCAGACAGACAGGCAGACAGGCACACACACACACACACACACACACACACACACACACACACACCGATGTAACATTTTGCGTCGTACATATTCAATATTTAAAACAACGCTAACGTGCTACAGTACAAATAAATTTCATTGTTAAAATTCCTCTTTTTTTGTTAATCATTAAATATTATTATCTTTTATCAGGTCATAACTGTAATGCTGTTATGTTGTAGTTTATTTTCTGACCTACTCAATAT